GAGGAACCTGGGAGGAATTAAGACGTTTGGCACAATAGGGAGTTTCCACCTAAATTAATGAGCTGCCCAAAGGTGTCCAGGGGTCTCTCTCTCTCTCTCTCTCTCTCTCTCTCTCTCTCTCTCTCAGTAGTGAAAGTAGACACCATCCGCCTCAGTTAATCATCGTCACGTCTTCACCCGACACTTTCCTCACCTGATGATATTACCACCTTCTTCACCTGCTCATAACACCACCTTAATATCAACAACGTGAGTGATTCTCAGTAGAGCTACATTATCTTACTTGAAATTTACGATGGCGACGATAACAAACTCTGAAGGTAAGTGAGAGTTGGCCGAATTAATTTATTCTTGGTTCTTTGTGGTTTTGGGGGTTGAGGGGGTGGTATGTGTAGTGGAGGGTAGTGGGGGTGGTGGCGCATGGTGAGTGGAGTAGTGGAGGTGGTTAGTTGGTGGAGAGAGAGAGAGAGAGAGAGAGAGAGAGAGAGAGAGAGTTACACCACTTTCTCAGAATGGGAGTAAGTGCAATATACTGTTCGTGTGTATGTGGTGTAAGTGTGGATGATTTTGAGGTTGATTTAGTGTTAGCGTAGGCGTATGATAGCGGGAGGAAGGAGATGTGTGAGCGCAGTTTAAGGTTGTTTCAGTCTAGACGTGGGCGTTGTGTGGACGTGGTGTGGGCGTCGTGTGGACATGGTGTGGGCGTTGTGTGGGCGTGGTGTGAGCATGGTGTGGGCGTGAGTCATCCAGGAAGTGGCCGTCAGCGTGGGTGTTAAGATTGTCGCTTCGGGGAAAATAAGGAGTCAGCAGTCAGCACCACAGTAATTGGTTAACACTGTGACGGTGGTGTATCACTGTTGTTAGTACAGAAGAGTTTATTGGTACCGTATCAATTAGTTGTTGATAATATTGTATTTAAATCTTGTTGATAACAGAACAGGTAGATGTTACTGTCAACACGTAGTTTACTGATAATGGCAACACTGTTTCTGTACAAGGTTAAGTCACCCATAACCATGACTCTCTCTCTCTCTCTCTCTCTCTCTCTCTTTCAGGAATTTGTATCTAAACAGTCACATATACTGTACATGTAAGCCAAGGCCTCCTGACACACCTACACGGCCAAATAAGATGAATGGATATTCAATCACAAACGGTTGGTCAGTTGTCAGTTGTTTTAACAATCGTGTAGCTGTGTGCTACAGTCACACAACGGGGACCAGGGCCAACACCTGCTGATGCAGGTTTGTGTTATATATATATATATATATATATATATATATATATATATATATATATATATATATATATATATATATATATAGTTACGTCAAACCTCGGTTCTCCACCTTGATAGTGAGAGAGGATGATTCAATCGACACAGCTGGTTCCTCCAAGACATCAGTACAGTATATAATGGAGAGGACAATTGTAACAGGAACCAATATTTATTCCATATTCTGAACATAAATGTTTTCGGTACTCTGCTCTGCCAGCTTGTGAGCAGTACCGGCATCACACAAGCTAAACTTACTACCATTAATTACTATGGAGACAAATTATTACAAAAAAATCACCCCCAAAAATATCAGTTACAAATTACAAGAGAGCGGCAGTGTGCCATGTTGCAGGTGGTGACGACGACAGCTGACATGACCCAACACGGCATATTACCCCCTACACTCACACCTTCACCCCACACACACACACACACACACACACACACACACACACAGGTAAAGAAGGTCATTAGGAAATAATATCAGGTATATATTCAATAGTTATCACGATTATTCACATCTTCCGGCAACATAATATTTCTAAGTGGTTACCTGAATATTATATGACTCACACGTTTGTACACATACACACACACACATACACACATACAGTATACTGACACACAACCTCGCTGACACATGCAGTATACTGACACACAACCTCGCTACAGTATCCTGACACATAACCTGGCTGACACATACTCACTGGTCGCCACTCAGGTCACGTGGTGGAGTGAGCAGCAGGAATGATGTCAGCACAGCACAATTATTGTTGCTGCCATCACGCACACTGCTGTACACGCTGACACATACCACAGGCTGACACACTGTAGACTGACACTTACACACACTACACGCTGACACATACCACAGGCTGACACACGCACTGCAGACTGACACATACCGCAGACTGACACAAACTAGAAGTATACTGTATCTATCACAAAGGAAGAGGGTGAAGGGGAGGGAAGGGGATTAGTGAGGTGAGGGAAGGGGGGATAATAAGGGAAAGAGAGGGGGCTAGTGAGGTGGGGAGGGAAGGGAGGCAAGTGAGGTGAGGGGAAGGGAAGGGTAGTGAGGTGAGAGGCAGGGGAGGGGGCTTGTGATGTAACGTGAAGGGAAAGCAGGCTAATGTACTAAGGGCAGGGGGGGAAAGTGGGCTAGGAAAGGTGAGCGAAGGGAAGGGGTTAGAAAGGTAAGGGGATGGAAGAGGAGGGCTGTGAAGAGTGGAAAATGGAGAGATTGACTTACCCATCCAAGTGTCCTCCCCTCCCTTCCCTTCCCTTCCCGTCCCTCTCAATCAAAGTGACATCCCTTCCCATCACCCTTCTCCATCCAAATGACCGTCCCTCCCCTCCCTCCCTTCCCTCCCCATCGAAGTGACCTCCTTTCCCATCCCCCTTCTCCATCCAAATGACCTCTCCTCCCCTCCTGCACACATAGTGGGGAGAGGATCGAACCCTCGTCAACACAGACATGACACAATTGTTTGGCCTCACCTGGAAGCCTGTGTGTATGGTGGTGCTCTTATTGCTCCGTTTTCTTTATTGGAGGGCCGTGGAGGGCTGTAGAGGGTCGTGGAGGGCTGTGGAGGGTAGTGGAGGGTAGTGGAGGGCTGTGGAGGGTTAGGGTATTGGAGTGGAGGGGTAGAGGGTCGTGGAGGGCTGTGGAGGGTAGTGGAGGGTAGTGGAGGGCTGTGGAGGGTTAGTGGAGGGTTAGTGGGAGTGAGTGGAGGCTATTAGTGGAAGGGGCTGGGGGGCTGTGGAGGTTAGTGGAGAGTAGTGGAGGGCTATGAAGGGTGGTGGGGGCTGTGGAGGTTAGTGGAGGGTAGTGGAGGCTGGAAGTGTGGAGGGCTATGAAGGGTAGTGGAGGGCTGTGGAGGGTTAGTGGAGGGTAGTGGAGAGGCTGTAGAGGGTTAGTGGAGAGTAGTGGAGGCTGATGAAGGGTAGTGGAGGGCTGTGGAGGGTTAGGGAGGGTTAGTGGAGGTAGTGGAGGGCTATGGAGGGTCGTGGAGGGCTGTGGAGGGTAGTGGAAGGCTATGAAGGGCTGTGGAGGTCGTGGAGGGCTGTGGAGGAGGTAGTGGAGGAGGGCTGTGGAGGGTCGTGGAAGGCTGTGGAGGAGGTCGTGGAGGGCTGTGGAGGGTCGTGGAGGGGCTGTGGAGGGTCGTGTTGGTGAGAAAGAGTGGAGTGATGGTGAGTGTGTTGGAGTGTTAGTGAGAGGGTTGGAGAATGTTGGTAGGTTGGAGTGTTATTGAGTGTTAAAAAGTGTTGGTGAGAGAAATGGAGAGTGTTGGTGAGAATGGTGGAGTGTTGGTGAGAATGGTGGAGTGTTGGTGAGAATGGTGGAGTGTTGGTGAGAATGGTGGAGTGTTGGTGAGAATGGTGGAGTGTTGGTGAGAATGGTGGAGTGTTGGTGAGAATGGTGGAGTGTTGGTGAGAATGGTGGAGTGTTGGTGAGAATGGTGGAGTGTTGGTGAGAATGGTGGAGTGTTGGTGAGAATAGTGGAGTGTTGGTGAGAATGGTGGAGTGTTGGTGAGAATAGTGTAGTGTTGGTGAGAGAGTAAGTGATGAATGAAGATGTACGAAAGAGAAGAATGAGACAGATGTAGAGGTCACAGGTGTGTAAGCGAGTAAGATGGACATATGCGCCAACTAGTTACCGGTATGTGAAGACAGCCACCAGGTATACAGACACAGGTACTGGTCATTAATGAGGGTGTAGGTGTAGCTGCTGCAAGGGCCGTTTTATCACCTGGGAACCGCTCCTGTGCGCCAACTGAGGGAGGCAGACGGCGACCTCGAACCTGCCTCAGGGATGTGTGTACACGGCGGGGTTCGTAGTAGCTTCCGTGACCATTTTCGTGAACCTCCGTGGCGTCTTTAGTGGTGACTGTGACAGCGATAAACACCTCCTGGGTGTTAGTGTGTGTGTGTGTGTGTCCTTGTCATCGGCTCTTACAAAAATTTTCCTTTTCATTGAGTGTGGCAGAGTTGCCGTGTGGCGATGGTTGTTATGGTCCGTATCGTGGTGAGTGTGCTGGTGTGTGGCAGTGGGTGTGGGCGGGGCGAGAGTGGGTGTGGGGGTGGGTTGGTGGGTTGGGGGAGGTGGGGCAGGGGTCGGGGCCGGCGCACTAGAGGAGGTGCCGTGAGCGGCCCTGGCAGCACCAGTCTCCTGCCGGGGTCTGTACTGGCGGGATGGACGGCCACGGTCCTCAGCACCACCACCAACACTCCCCCTCCAGGGACGCCACAACAGGCACCACCGACCTCCCCTGCCTAGACTCTGCCACAGAGGCTCAGGAGGCAGACGACAAGGAGACTTTCGACGTGAAGAAGCAGCAAGTATTGAGGAAAAATCTCATGAGGATGAACAAGAGATTTCGCTCAGTGTTCAAGTTCTCGCGCTCCTACTACGCCCAGTACATGAGGTACCGCTTCCTTAAACTGCGCTGGATCAACAACTGTGTCGTTAACTTCATGTGAACGTCAACTTGGAGGGCCTCAGATGAGTGACACTTACTGTAACCTGATGACCCGACGCGGATACTCAAGTGGGATTTATATTAAACAATTTGCATTATGAAAAACACAAATTTTTAGCCATAATGATCAAGAGTTGATCCACATTTGCTGTAGTGTGAGCAAGTGAGTGTCAGTGTGACGGCGAGGTAGTATGATGGCCTTAACAGGTAGCAATAACGAGGAGAGGCGTCAACAGTGATGGTGATCTCTCAACACCACACAATGGTTTACTATCCTGCGCCAACCCGGTCACCGCTGCCCTCCCAGCCTGCCCTCCCTCCCCCAACGTGGCCCTCCATTCTTCCCTCCAGCTTCAGGACGCCCTTCAAGGTGCCCCCAGGTAGGTGCTGCAGCAGGAAGAACAAACCTCGGCAACAGCAGTGTCGCCCCGCTTCATTATTCACAAACCACCGGTGTCCAAATCTCATTATGCTCACCCTTGTCAACGTTCACATAATGATTTTTTAGCGTCCGTCTGCCTCTCTCTCTAACTCTGGGGTGATGGATGCGTCACTCATAACATATTCTAAGGTTCGATAACTCGCTAATCATCAGTGCTTGTGTGTTAAGATGGTGAGTCATCCTACATAACACACCGATTTTAGTTTTATAAATTAAATGTGTTTGAAATCCAAATTATTATGATTTAATCCGCCTTGGTGGTACGTTTTTGTAAACACTCTTTGTGTGTGTGTGTGTGTGTGTGTGTGTGTGTTGTCCAGTGGATATTTGTTACTATATTTCTACTTAATCAAATCATAAACGATAAAAAGGAACATAATAATAATAATAATAATAATAATAATAATAATAATAATAATAATAATAATAATAATAATAACCACAACAGGTAGACGCGGCGAGACACCACCCCCAACACCCTCAGGTACTGACGATGTAAACAAAAAGTTGACAAAATAGCAATGGTCGCATAAAGAACCTCTGTTAATTGACTCTTGTCCATAATTACACTGACCCGGGAGGTTGTGAGGTCTAATATCTATGACAAGTATAAGCGGTGTTACTACTACACTGATGTGGTAGTGACAGTGATGATGATAATGATGATGACAATAATAACAGAAATAATAATAATAATAATAATAATAATAATAATAATAATAATAATAATAATAATATATAGCCATTACCACTACTTCCGTCCAACACCTACACTGAAACACCCATAAAACAAGACGAAGAAACACTATTTACAACACAAGACACACTACTGACACACACACACACACACACACACACACACACACACACACACACGACATAACCCAGATTTATGGACTAACTTTCAGGTAAACGATAAAAGGGAAGGACTGTCTCTTAAGTAAGAAGATTAAAGTGACTTGAGACGATGACAAACAGGAAAAAATATCTTGACTCCTAAGATTAGTTTCCAAGTAATATTAATGGCAAGTTATATTAAAGACAAGTTGTTTAAATATATAGGAGTAAAGTCTCCCCCACTAATACTCGGGATCAACACACAGGCAGACTCTACAGTATATCTATCTGTCAGACCTTCGCGAGAATGGTGGGCAATGGGTGGCGGGTTGTGCTGTGAAGGTGACGTTTTGAAGAATATTGAGATTTTATAAAAGCAATGACAATATATATATATATATATTTTATGTAAATCCACAATGAAAACGTGGATAAGATAAATCTTGATAAAATCACACGTTGCTGTATTGTTATCTAAAAGTTTAATAATATCATTCTCTACGTGATTCAAAATATATGATCGTAAATAAAAAATAATATAAATAAAAATTTTCTGCATAACGCCATTCACAAAAAAAATATTGTTCTCCCCCTTCCTCCCAATTTCAATAACAATAACAGCAAACTCCCTCAATATACAACTATTTCGCATAAAAAAGGTTAGGGTATCTCTTTCATTCAGCGCCTCGCATGAACAAAAAAAAAATATATATATATATAAAAATATACAGTGTAATTACTATGTCCAGTCTCCTGTGACGCGCCACCGTCGCCATCACTAAAATTTTCTTTTTAAAAAACTGGAAACATCTTGAGGGCGCCGATGGCAATAATTCACCGCTAGATAGGATCCTAATAGAGCGAGAGCCTCGTGAAGGGGCATTGGGGAGCCTAGAGGATAAGAAGGCGCCCAGTGCAGACTCCCAAAGACCGTTCTTAAAGAGAGATAAGGGGGGAGGAGAAATTATGAGGCAGAACGGAGGAGTCTTAGGGGAGGAGTTCCAATACTATGTCGCCTGCTGGCTCATTCACCACGCACTGCGGTGAGGCTTTGTGTATGTATGTATTCATGACTATGTTTACACGTGATATACATGAGTATAAATGTGAATATATATGAGAATATATTTATGAACTTATGACAATACGAAAGGAAGTAAACATAATAACATTTACATAAGAGTGGATTATTGCACACACACACGCACGCACCACCGTTTCTGCACGCACGAGTGTGTATATGTTTGAGTTAGTGGTGGTGATGGTGGTAGTATGTGTGTGTGTGTGTGTGTGTGTGTGTGTGTTGATAGTGTGCGTGAGTGTGTAAGTTAGACAGAAGTCACAAGGGTTCAACAGATCTCACACCTATTACTCTCAATACTAATAATAATCGATACCATTTAATAGGTATTCGTATGACCGCTACCCTGGAACACCATCTCAATACAGTACAGTTCTGCGGACGAGACTCAAACCTACGACTTTCCAAATGAAGAACAAAGTATAACCACCCAGAACACATTTTATGTACCAAGTTTGAAGAAAGAAAATAGGTCATTAATTCCCATGCTATAATGTTTTCTAAGTCAAATTTAAAACAAAAAATAAAATAAAATATATAATAACTCGAAGTATAGCTCAATTGGTGTGAAAATTTGTATAGGGAGTTAGTTAAGTCTTCTAGTAGTGTATACTGTAAAGTCAATATCTCTACCCAACCCACTTGAGTCTCAGCTTAAAAGATAAAAGAAAAAATGAAATGAACTCGAATATGGTCTTAGGACACCCTGAGCCCGAGGCCACAGTCACCCCATCCTAGGTGTGTGTTGGGAGGAGGGGGTAGAGAGAGAGAGAGAGAAAGGGAGAAAGACACACACACATACACACACTCTCTCTCTCTCTCTCTATATACTCCTCGCCTATTCTGTCTTTCCACGTCTGTTCAACATTGCAGTATTTACCCTAAATCCTCTTGCCGCCTCTCCCCCTCCCCTCTTTCATTCTCTCCATCCATCTTTTCCTTCCTTCCTTCCTTCCTTCCTCCTCCTTCTTCTTCCTCCTCTTCCTGTCTCCTTTATTTACTCTTCTATTGTCTCCTCTATCCTCCCATCTCCTATCTTCTGTTTTCCATCTATGTCGGAAAATTCCCATTTTTTTCTGTCCTTTCCTGTTTTACCTAAAGTACTGTACTGTTTGTGAGGCAAAGTTGTTAGTTGTGGTGTTTGTGTATGAGTGTGTTGGTGATCTAAGTGTGTTGGTGTATGTGATGTAAGTGTGTTGGTGTATGTGATGTAAGTGTGTTGGTGTAGATGATGTAAGTGTGTTGGTGTAGATGATGTAAGTGTGTTGGTGTATGTGATGTAAGTGTGTTGGTGTAGTGTGATGTAAGTGTGTTGGTGTATGTGATGTAAGTGTGTTGGTGTATGTGATGTAAGTGTGTTGGTGTAGGTGATGTAAGTGTGTTGGTGTATGTGATGTAAGTGTGTTGGTGTATGTGATGTAAGTGTGTTGGTGTAGGTGATGTAAGTGTGTTGGTGTAGATGATGTAAGTGTGTTGGTGTAGGTGATGTAAGTGTGTTGGTGTAGGTGATGTAAGTGTGTTGGTGTAGGTGATGTAAGTGTGTTGGTGTAGGTGATGTAAGTGTGTTGGTGTAGGTGATGTAAGTGTGTTGGTGTAGGTGATGTAAGTGTGTTGGTGTAGATGATGTGGAGTGTGTTGGGTGTAGGTGATGTAAGTGTGTTGGTGTAGGTGATGTAAGTGTGTTGGTGTAGGTGATGTAAGTGTGTTGGTGTAGGTGATGTAAGTGTGTTGGTGTAGGTGATGTAAGTGTGTTGGTGTAGGTGATGTAAGTGTGTTGGTGTAGGTGATAAAAGTAGTAGTGGTGAGTGTGTGTTAATAATAATAATAATAATAATAATAATTAACGGTTTATTGAAAGAGCTTGGCAGCCAGAAGGCTGAAAATATACAGTTACATAATTGGGGAATGGGTTTCGAATTACAAATAATATACAAATAACATAAGTGATATAAATAAGATATATAATAACTAGATAGGGAAAAGCTCAAACCACAGGGCATTTCAACATAGTGACAGTGCAAGAAGTAGTATTCACTGGGAGTGAATACACTGGTTTATTACAAGTTATTGATAATTTTTACAATGGTTGGGACTGGGCTGTTCTTACAGCGATCAGTTCGTGCACGTATGGGCTGGATGCGGTTGTGGTGTCGAACAGCAATTCTCGGGCTAGGGATCTCAGGTGGTAGTAGGAGCCGGTGTCGAGGATGGTGCAGTAGTGTATGACTTAACTAAAACTGTAGTAGTGTAAACAAGTTAAAGATACTAACATAAAAAATTATAATGAAAACCTTATCTAATAGTTAACTCCATAACTTAATGTCTCTTTAAGAACTGTAGATAATAATAATAATAATAATAATAATAATAATAATAATAATAATAATAATAATAATAATAATAATAATAAACTAATTCAACTTGTTACTACACCCCTATAAATAAGATCAATGAAAAATAGGTAAATGCTGCTCGTAGCGAGATGGTGTTTGTGTCCAGTGCCTATACAATCATCCCTGAAGCGCAAAGAATTCAGCAGTGACAAGATATTTACACCAGACATATCCAGAGGCTGTTACAAGACCACAATCTCTCTCACCAAGACGTGTATGTGGGCGTTGAAGATGTTCCCTCCTGGTGTTACTTATCAGGGATACGGGCTGGTGACGGCGGGGCTCCATGTAGTATCAGGGGATTTAAAACATCAAGGACAAGGCGGCCATTATAACGTTGTGTGGAGGCTGGGGGACCACACACCGACCTTGACTTCTTGGAGTGGTTTAATGATCACTGCTATGGGTAATCGAGGGAACGTTTGTGATATAGAAATGCAACATAATAGGCTTGCTATCCGCAAAAATAGATCATCTGACAGATGTCACCAAATCTCTGGATAACTGAATCCAATCTAATAATAATAATAATAATAATAATAATAATAATAATAATAAATAATAATAATAATAATAATAATAATATAAGTAATAATAGTAATAGTAATAGTAATAATAATAATAATA